GGAAGGCCAAACCCTAGCGCTCTCTTATCATCATGAATTCAGGTATGCTTCCATTTTTTTTGTTTCCGATGATTAACATGATAGATTCAGGGATATATAGATGATAGTTTTCATCAGGCTTAAGTTTGGTTCTAACAAAGTAGACACATAGAGGAGCCATATGTTGATGTTGGACAGCCTGAGGGACGCAAAGAAAGGAGAGATTTGCAACGACGGAAGAGACAGGTGCAAGCTGCCATATGGTCTATCCGTCTTTGCCAGTTAGACAAGATGGTGTGTATTTTATCCCCTCACAGGTGCGTTTCATTCCATCTCAGTCTACACAAACTTCATACTTTCACTCATCATAACCTACCACACATTATAGGTCTCCGTTCAATACTGTAGAAGACTATGTTCCCAACTTTCATCATTTTATGACCCTGCCTTCGTATGATCCGTCACTATTCACACCATCCGCTCTAGGTTTAGCTATTGAGTCACTGGGAGAGCCTTTTACAGTATCCTTGGGGTATCGTGGCATTAATCTAAATGCCCAATTTAGAGAAGTTGCAGATACCATCCAACATGATGTGAGACGTAATCCTTATAGGGAGGCCAGAGATCGATCTCGTCATTGCATCCTTACTCCACATTGATGAATCCACATTTTATTGAATTTTTACTTGTCTTTTTAGTGTTCTTTAATAGAAAAAGTAGACTTAGGGAGTGTAAATAACATAGAAACATCATTTTGGTCAAATATCATAGGTTTCTTCATTTTTGGTTAATTTACATTGATTTACATAGATATAATTTGCAATTTTGATTATTTTAATAATTGTGCAGGAATTTATAGACTTATTCCATGGATTTTTAGCATTTGAGTTAAAAGTGACTACTTTGGATTCCATAGTGGACACTACAGCAAGTTAGATCCAGAAGAGCAGACCAAAGTGATCACTCTGACCCTATAGTAGACACTACAGAGACCCCAGTTTGAAGAGGTGATGCGCGTGGCCACTTTGAGTCCATAGTAGACACTACAGAGAAGGCCAAAAATCACCCAGACTTGCACGTAGCTACTATGAACCCAAAGTAGCTACTCTAGAGAGGGTCAATGGTAAGGGAAACCTACTCATAGCCACTGTGAAATGATAGTAGCTACTTTGGGATCATTGGGTGTAGCTACTATGAAACCACAGTAGCTACTATAAACGAAAATCACTGCACTATAAATAGAACTTTAGAAATTAGGGTATGGAGATTTTTACACACTTTAAGATTTCTTACCAATTTACGATCACTTGCAGAGCTTAGGTCATCCTTAGGTGACAGCCAATGACCGAATCTAGGATTTGATTTTCTTTTTCTTGTTAATACTTCTCTAGTTTATGCATTAATGTCATTGATTTCCCTTTATTTTCATTTGATAATTGTAAGACCCATCCTCATGGAGGGCTAAACTCTTTTGTAATCCCTAGAGAGTTCATTTAGACTGTTGAATTCCTGGGTTTTAAATGTTAATATAATTCCTTTCTTTTCATGAATTTCCTCTTCCTAATCTCTTGAATTGAATTAATGGGTGAATGAGGGGAGCATTGTATAATGAACCCTAATTCATTTTAATGAAATTTTAAATTTGAATTGCTTAATTCTTGTTTAATTGTAACATTGCGTAATCAAGGAATGAGAGATTGAAGTTCATTAGATTGCTTAATTCATATGAAAACATAAAGTTGATTTTCACTTGTTAAATTAACCTAATTCTGGGAGGAGAGGAAGAGGATTAAAATCTTGAGAAGAATGAGGATAAAGTCCATATGAATGAACTAGGGATTACTACTTTTTATTGATTGAACTTTATAATTTTGCTTCTTGTTCTTAATTTTAACCTTGGAACTACACAAACCCTCCTTAATTAATTGCTTTTGTAATTAATGTTTTTAACATGTTTGATGCATATTCTCAACCATTGTCATTGGAGTTGGCCTAGGTTAGCACCCTAGTATTATACTAATTTCTGTTTATATTTTAATGAGGATTCGCGACAAATTTCTTTTCATCACACATGAGGACCATGACCAGCAAGGCAAATAGTAGTGATATTAGCATACTATTTATATGTTTTCTTTATTATATTATGACTATCCTATGTGGAGTTGAAACTTTATTAATATATCTTTTCATTCGTAGTACTACCATACATATGATACTCAATACTATTATAATACCATCCTAAAACATCTAACATAATTAGGAGTCTATTACAACAACTGAATACGTAACAAAAATAAATAATGTTATAATAGTAATGCTAACAATATTTAAAAAGTGTCATGTATGTTGATTATGGCTAGGACAATGACATTGGTTGTGACCAATTTGTTTACACAAATGATATCGTTGACATGATTGAGAGTTCACCCAATCCATTTCATTCCTAATACGTGTAGATTTTGGTCGACCTTTTTCCCTTGATCTTTGGTCGTCTGGTACTAACTTCTATTCATTCGATGTTAAAATCTTGTTGTCATTTCCACTTGGTGACCCCTCACATAGTCATTGGTTTCAATTTTGTATACTGACCCAGATGAATGTAATTGCATATACTCCAACCATCTCAGAAATGTGGCATACGATTCATCCCAATTACCAAAAAACTTTACTATAGCTTTTCTTTTTTCCTTCCATGCTTTTAATAAATGCAGATTTTACTAGGTTTTTATGTAGTTTTCAAATTTGTTTTTGATAAAAAATGTAATTTGAAAAGTGAAAACTGCACAAAAATATATAAATATTGTGTGAATTTGATAGAATTTTGATGTAATTTTGTTAGTTTTGCAGGAAACTCTGAGCTGAGATCATAAGGTTTGGTGAAGCAAGAGTTGGGCGTGATCACTTTTCCTTGCAAAAGTGATTGTTCCAGAGCCAAATATTGAAGGTTGACCTGTGCGTTATCACTTTTTCTCACAAAAGTGACAACACTCATGAAGAAGAGATCCCGCGTTATCACTATTGCTAATGATAGTGATCGTTCTAGAGAAGCTTCTAGCAAAGCAAGCTCTGCGTGATTACTTTTGTTTACAAAAGTGATCGTTCTAGAGAGCCCTGTAGCACAACAAGCTGCGCGTGACTCCTATTGTTCATGAAAGTGAACACGCGCAGACCACGAACCTTTGCGTTGCTACTTTTATGAAAAATAGTGATCACGCCAGAAAGGAAAAAAATTCTATAAATAAGAGATTAGCCTAGAAACTTGTATCTTTTTCTCATTTTTCATTTTCACACCTTAGGAGAGTTAGAGAGGGAGATTGGGGGTGACTTCCAAGCTTTGGACCTTAAGGAACAGGCTAGGGATTGGATTTATGAAGAAATTTTGCAGCTCCTCTTCTTCTACTCTTTCTCTCTCTCTTTCTTCTATGAACATGCTCTGATTTCTTTTTCTTATGGATTGATGGATCTGATTTTGATATTGTAAATTGATTGTAGATCTGGATTTTAAGATCTTAATTGTATTAAACGTTTAATTCTTTCCGTAATGTAATTCTTGAATTAGCTATTCATTTGAATTGAACCTAGAGGATTTCATCAATGGAAGTTGAGTTAATTTCTCATATCTGAATTGAATGTCAAGGTTATGGATATCTTAGGGATAAAAATTTGTGATCTTGTGATCTCTTAATTGCTCATACTTAATGCAATGTTTGATTGATTTACACCTAAGGAATTAGGGTAGTTAATTGAATATTAGGATTATTGAGGCAAGGGATTGTCCTTTGATTAAATAAGTGAAATTGATCATCAATCAATTAAGGAACTTAGAGTTCAGATCTACTTCAATTTTGCAATTGATAAAGAGATGAAATCAGTCCTAACTCCATTCACACATCAATTCATTTCTAAATTTGTCACTCTATATTGCTGTTATTTTCTGATTTCTACACTTTATTGCTTTTATTTGCAAATGCTCAAAATACTCCAAAATTCATTTAGCTCAACTAGTTATTGATTTGTGAAGCAGTAATTGATAGAATTAATCCCTAAGGACGATACTTGGGACTTAAACTAAATTCCAAATTTTATTACTTGCTACAACTATCTAGTACACTTGCTAGTTAGTGTTCTTTTAGCTTAGTGACAGCTTTCTTGTAAGAAACTTGATAGCCAAATTGACCACTAATTCTTTCTTAGATTAATGTGATTGGCACTGATGATTGTTCATTTACCATACCTACAAATAACAGTATAATTATGTATAATGTTCTTAAATAATATATAGAACCATCAAACGTATTAGGATAAATTGGTGCAACTTACTGAGAATGAAATTGCAAATGAAGTAGAAATCCAATTTTTTGTGGTCAAGAGACATCATTGTATGAACACACGTATGTGCTCCACCACACCTTGTGATTTTTCACTTGTTAAAATTTTTGCCCAAAGTTGATCTAACCCTCCAAGGACATCTTGTTGTATGATTTGGGCACTTCACATGAAACTTTGTTGGTTTTGATTCCACTCCAAAATAACTTTGATGTGTTTTTATTGCAAAGATTTTAATAGCCATTTTAATATCTTCTTTAGACTCAAACATTTAGCCAACAAACAATGCATCACCCTCCCTCCATGTTTGATCAAGATCAACATCTATATTTTCCATTTCCTCATCAGCATGTTCCCAGTTAATATAAGTATAATGTGGACTTGAATTCCAAAAGGGAGTTTCAACCAAACCTGCATATAACAGCACAATTGAGTTATTTTACATTGTAATTGAAACATATTTTATAACAGATTAATGCACTTAATACCTTTGACTCCTGTGTAACACCCTTTGGTAAAATTGCATGGAGTACCCTTGAGCATCATATCAGATCAAGATCCAAGATTTACATCGACATTTTGGGAGAGTTTGTAAGTGGCTTTTGGGAGTAAGTTAAATCTTAGTTCATCATATCATCCTCAAACTGACAGAGCACACTATCCAAACACTAGAGGATTTGCGACGAGCCTGCGTGATGGAGCAACAAGAAGCGTGGGATGAATGTCTACCTTTGGTAGAATTCATGTATAATAATAGTTATCAAGCAAGCATTGGCATGGCACCATATGAAGCATTATATGGAAGAAAGTGTCGAACTCCTATATGTTGGTACAAAGTGGGAGGACAATTCTGTATGCGCCCGATATAGTGCAAAAACAAAACGATGAAGTGAAGATGATTAGAGAAAGGATAAAGGTCGCCCAAGATAGATAGAAGAGTTATCATGATCAGCGAAGGAAGCCATTGGAATTTCAAGTCAAAGATCATGTTTTTTTGAGAGTTTCATCTATTACTGGAGTTGGTAGGGCATTAAAGTCCCAAAAGTTATCTCTTAAATTCATTGGACCATTCGAAGTTCTGAGTAGAGTTGGTCCTGTGGCTTATCATATTGCCTTACCTCCAAATCTGTCTAATTTGCATCCTGTATTCCATGTGTCTCAATTGAGAAAATATATTCTAGACCCTTCTCATGTGATTAAACTTGATCCTGTCCAAGTTCAAGAGAATTTGTCATATGAAGTTATTCTTGTGAAGATTGTTGATCGTCAAGTCAAGCAGCTAAGGGGTAAAGATATCTCTTTGGTAAAGGTGATCTAGAATGCAAGTGATGAAGGGGATGCTACTTAGAAATATGAGGACAAAATGAAGGAAGCATATTCTCATCTATTCCTAAATCAGTGAATTTCAGGGGCGAAATTCCTAAAAAGATGAGAGTAGTGTAACACCCTCTTCTCAATTTTTTTTTTGTAATTATGTGTTATTTAATGTTCAGTAGTATTAGAGTGTATTTAGATGTAAGTAGGGAGGATTTGAGAGGAGATTTGGTGCAGGAGATTTCGCTCAAGCGAGATAAATCTCGCCCACACGAGATTGAGCATGCAAAAATATCTTGCTGTAGAGCTATCTCGCTCAGGCGAAATGATTCTTGCTCAAGCGAGATAAGATAAATGTTGCCCAATCGTCACTTCACCAAGACGAGAGTGATCTTGCTCAGGCGAGATGGGTCACTCAAGCAAGGACCCAAAGGAAGAATAACATGCTCTCTAGACACCATTTCGCTCAGGCGAGATAGAGCTCGCTCAAGCAAGCATATTAGAAAATAATGTGCAAGACCACTGTCTGTATATCTTGCTCAGGCGAGATGCTCGTTGCTCAAGCGAGTTGTCTCTCGCTTAAGCAAGAACGCGTGGGACTGAGGGGTATTTAAGAGATTTCTCGCATGAGAAATTCATTCTATTACTAACCCACGTACCTCTCTCAAGTTTTCTCTGAAATCTCTCTTCCTTTCACTCAGATAAAAGCCTCTGAAACTCTGATTTCTCTTCATAATCACACTTGGACATTGAAGCTAAGTAATTCTAAGTAAGTTTCTTTGGATTAAACTTGAGTTTTTCTGATCATTTTTCTTGTTCTTGTTTCTTATGCATATCTCTTAGTGTTCAGGAGAACTTCCAATAGTTGACTCCCTAGCTTTTCAATATATCTCTTTGAGCTTATCTTTGAAGTAAGGATAACTCTATTTTATCTTTCTATTATAGTATTTATGTCGTGCTCATCGAGCACTGTTATGTGAATATGATATAAGATAGATGAGTATGATATATGTTGTGCTGAGTATGGTTGAAAATATGTTTGTTTGAATAGTTGGACTGTTTGGTTGCTTGGGTTGAGTAGTTGATATATGTGTACATGATGAGTACTTAATGTGGAAGATGATTAAATCTACTGAAATTGAGTATTATGAGATTTTATGAAATATATCTGAGTAAAATGGTATGTTGGAATGATATTGATATGAAATGAACTGGAATAGAATTAGTCTGGAAGTACTTTACTAAGCACGATCTTATAGTGAAAAGAAAGGGTAATTTTGAGAATGACTCTAAGAGTCGAGTATGAATTTAATCTAGTATGAATAGTTATAGAGATACACTGGAGTTATAGAGGCCGGAAACAATGAAAATCTAGAGGAAATGTAGGGTGGTGAGCGACATTCGCGTATGTGTACACACTCTTTTTGAGAGTGAATGCATCACATGGCCTCACACTCGTTTCCTGACTAGACTCCTAACTATGCCTTTGCTAAGAGGCCCGATTATTGGACACGTTGTATCCGTATGCATGGGCTAACCAATGACTATTTACCTAGTTGAGTAAGACCTCGAGAAGTGCTAGAGGCATCGATATCTATGATCACAGTGCACTGGAAGTGCATGTTAGAATGAGAGAAAGGAAAATGAATGATAAATTATAAATGTTATGTGTGATGTGAATATGTTTGTAAATATAAATTCGTGAAATTGAATGTATTACGTTAATGCTAAAATTATGATTTTATGCTAAATGATTGTAAAAAGGATAGAATAGACGCACATCCTTACTAATAATTTCAAGGAATCAGGATAACGGAGCCTCTGGAAAGAGTTAGACTAGTAGATAACTCTGTATATTTTAGATTAAATTATGTATTTAATAAGTATCAAAGAGTAAATTATTTTAAATTTGTTGTACTTGTAGAAGATGAACCTAGGGTTTTTGTTATGATAGAAATGGATTACTCTTGTAGTATCCCTTTTGACTTCCCTAGGAATAGGATACACCAGACTCTCTGTGTATATATGTATAGAGGTACTGTTAGGAGTCCAGCAGCCCTCACGTACCTATTCACCTATCATGACCACGACTCTCTCGGAAGACCATCCAGATGGACCTTTGATCGCGTCACTGGCACAGAAGTCAAAGTTGATTCAGGCGATCTCTACCTGGGATTGAACGAGGATCTGGATTCAGAAGATTTAGCTGAGATAGAGAGCTGGCATGGAGTGGATGAGTAGGACCGGTCTTCAGTAGTTGGTTTTGAGGAAGACTGCTCTGGGACTTGTATATGTTTATGTGTTGTAAATATTTTGATGATGTGATTATTATTTTAAGTCTCATATATATATTGACTAATGGTTTGTAAATTAATATACTCAATCTATAAAATGCATGTTTAAAATTTATTAACTTATATCGTTCGATTATGTTTTAAGTTCAGCATTTTAAAATTATTGTCCTACTACTTATATTGATTTATTTTGAATTAATTGGACAAGGCACTATATCTTATAGAAAAATTTCATTAATTTACTCTAATTATTTCCACTAAAGCAAATAAATTGATGTTTGGTTTTACACGATTAAGAACAATTTATACATTGTACGGAATATTGAGAATAAGGTGTTACATCCTGCATTATCACTTATTGACCACGAGTGTTGCACTCGGAAAAATTATTAAAAACCAAATTGCATAAAAATTATGTAGTAAGAGGTGCAATCTGAGTCATCTCTCAATGCTGATAATGTTATACGATTACGAATTTGGATGAGGTTTGATTTATAAAATAACACTTATTAGAATGAAAAATTAACAAGAATTGAAAACTCTAATCTAAGAATTTAGAAGAACTATGATCATTCTATCACCGGATTCCAAGAAGATGTATCAGCCAATAAGTTAGTAATTAGTGATTAACATTAAATACGAATGAAACCTTAATTCAAATTAAGCATTCACATGGAAACCTTCATACATTCGATAAATACACAATCGCTCAAAGTTCAGAAACCTCTAGAACCTAATTGATTTGTATTAATTTAATTCACCAATGCCATTAATCTTAGATCTCAAACCTAAAAATCTAATTCATTTTCCTTCAAAAATTAATTATGTAACACCTTAAATTTAATTTTAAATAAATAAGAAATTTCGCAAATTTTTGAAATAATAAAACTTCCATTTTTAATCCAAATTTCATCAAATATTTTAAAATAAGGAAAGGAGTTACAATCTCTATCAAGTTACTACTACATGACCCATTCAAATACATTAGTTTCAAATTAAAATCCTAGTCCTATAGCAGTTTCATCTGCCCCTTTTATTGAGTCCGGTGTTGATCGTCTTGATTACCTAAAAAATGAATGTAAGGGTGAGTACTCTACACTACCAAAATATACAATTAAGCATAGAGTCTCACCTTTAGCATATTTCCAATACATTAAACAAATACAAGTACAGGCAGCATTATCACATCCATAAGTACAATTCATGAACCCATGCATACGCACGCCAGCCACACTCACATTGACACTGTGATCACAGATTTACACCATGAATGGTCGCCGGTTACCCCTGCCTCACGGATACCACGTGGGCAGTCATGGGTCGCTAAGCAAAGGTAATGCTCAGAGGTCTAGTCAGGAAGAGAATGTGTGGCCTGTGGTGCACCCGTTCCATAGTCGATGTCACCACCACTCCCTCTTCCCCAAGGTATTTCTACTGTCCTCATCTCTTACACCCCCAGTGTATCGCTGAACCATTCACAGCACATTACAACGGCGTTATACGCCCCAGTCACACACATTTCAGTATATGGCACATAGCCCACATTTAACTGTTACAGCACTAGGCCCACATTTCATTCAAGACACACGGCCCCTAGCCTATTTCCATTCATATTACCGGCCCTCGGGCCCACATTTTCACAATATACATTCAGATATACACACATGTATAAACGGCATAAGTGCCCACACCACATATCTCAGTAATTTCCTACCCTCTACTCAGCCACATCACAATATCACACAAAATAGTAGCAAATCATACATAAAGGAGTAGGTAAAGTCTCCCCTTACCTTGGATTGAAGACTTACGTCCGAACTCAACCACGAAAATACTCCCTACACGGTTTTCGGCCTAAACACATGGAAGAATTTCATGAGAACCCCGAAAATCACCAAGAACAGAGAAAGGGAAGGAAAACAAAAACACTAATCGTTTAAAACTCACCTCCAAGCGTTCCCTACACAAATCCGAGCTCCAATCTTGCTCTCAAACGGCTTTGGAAGCAATTAATCGGTGAAAATAGGCTTTGGGGAATGAGAGAATCGAAGGGAGAGGGAGAAATAACTCTCCCCGAACCCTAACCCCCTTAAAATCCTTTCTAGTTGCGACACTCTCGCTACAGCGAGATATTCTACCTCGCTGTAGCGATACGCCCTCTCGCTACAGCGAAAAAAACTAGAGAAAATTGCACTCTGGTTTCTGCAGACTCTCGCTACAGCAAGACTGCACCCAGAAATGCACCCCAAATTGTCGTTCTCTCGCTACAGCGAGACATCTCTCGCTATAGCGAGAAAGTGACAGTTTCAGTCCTTCCTCCCAGGGCCCTCTTGCTATAGCGAGAATCCTTTCGCTGCAGTGAGAACAGCCTAGTATCTCGCTCTGTACTTAGGCACTTAGCCCATTTTAGCCCAACCAGTCATGCATACACACACATATATATACACATACATATTCATAGTATATATCTAAAAAAATACACACATGAATATACATTTATATTTATATAATTATCAATAATTAATATTACAAAATTTGGGGCGTTACAAATTACAGACATCAACCGAATAATATGCAATCAAACAGTTGCACAATTATCAATCCAAATGAATAACTTCAATTTGAAAATGTAATTAGCAAAAGGAAAATGAGAGAAGAGATTAAATCAGATTTGTTGTTGAATGAATTGCGAAGCCAATCCTCAAGAATG